ATATATATATTATTTTTAAAAGTTCCTCAATTTCTGAAGTAAAAACGGAAAATGTTGTCATTTCGTAAGAAAATATTAATATGTAAAAAATTAATATTAAGAAACTACGATTTTATTGCTAATACTTCCTCCGTAACTTTGTAGTTATTATGTTACTTCAATTCGAATATGATAAATTAAATATTTAAAATTTTAAAAATTATAAATTATAATTTTTTTTTTCATATCAATACGATGAAACAATAAAAATCATGACATGTTAATTAAGGTTTTATTGTTAATTTTAAAAAAGAAAATTACGACAACTATAAGAAGACGGAAGAAGTACGTGGCTAATTAAATAAGATTAACAATAATTTTTCTATTAGTGTACATGGATTTATTTTTGTTCTTCGCATATCTTAACTCAAGTAACCAAAAAAAGTAATAATAATTAATCTACCACTAAGTTGAAATTAAACTACAAATAAAATTTTAAAAAAATTACACAAAGCACTTCATTAACTTGTCATTAAAACATCACAATTCTTCACAAAATCTTGTAAATTAATTAATCATGCAAAGAGGCCACTAATGTATGAATAATTTTTCTTCACATATCCAACTCATTTGACAAATTAATAAAGATTAACCAAGCATTAATACTAGAAATTAAATATATTTTAATCAAAAACACTTCCTTAAGTTGTCATTAACCCTCCTAATTACAACATTTTGAATCTTACTAGAGATGAATGAAACTTTGTCATCAAACTAGACTAGACAATTAAAAACATCAAAATTTTTTGTTAAATAAAGATAAATTAAGCACTACAACTTGAAATTAAACAGCAAATAGACATTAACAAAATAAAATAAATAGAAAATAGACAAAAAAAAATTCATTAACTTGTCATTAACCCTCCTTACAACATTTTGAATCAACCTAGATAATAATTAAACTAGTCATCAAGGAAAATAACATCAAAACTCTTAAAATACTTTTAAAGAGTAATAAACATTAATCTACCATTAAGTTGATTAAACTAAAACTAAACAAAAATAATATACAAAACACTTCCTTGACTTATCATTAGTCCTCCTTACATCATTTTCAAAACTAGCAAAATCAAAATTAAAATAAAACTAGTTAGCAACTAACCATCTAAAAAACATAAAAATTGTTATAATTTTTTTTTTTGGGGGGGGGGGTAAGTGATGATAAATATTACTAACAAAAAAACCAAAGTTACCATTATCAAAATTAAGTGCATAACTTAAAGGATCATAATGAAAACTCAACTTGTTGTTACTCTTCTTGTTCTTCTTTTGATTCAAGAATTCACTTCTCAATTTCAAGAAAATGTTCCTCAACTTTTTTTTTCTATACAAAAATACCAATCTTGAGTTGCAACACATCTCAACTACAAACCCCATCACTAGAAAATAATATTATGATTTTTTTTTTATCAAATTCAAGAAAATGTAATGTGTAAAATGGGAGTTATAAAGAAGAGATAAATAGGAAAAATTTTGTTTTTTGTTTTTTTGTGGATGTATTTTAGGGTGTGTTTGGCTTACAATGTAAGAGAGGGAGCAGAGTATTGAGACAGAGTTTGAGATATTTGAGTGACTAAAGTATTGTCAAATGTCTATCATATGGTATACTATGAAAAGTGATTTTGTTTTTTTTTTGGATTTGGGATTATTTGGGTTGTAAGAAGGTTCTTTCTTTACTTTATTACCTTTTGGTAAAAGGAGGGTTTAGATTTTGTGTATTTCGATAGTTTTCGTGTATTTTGATTAATTATTTTTCTATTCGACTTTATATGATGTTTGAGAAAAAAATTTAAAAGATTTTTGAACTTCGTGGTTTAAAATTATTCGTTAGATATTTATGTGTTTGAAAAATTATTTTATTAAGGATTTACATTTTGTGCATTCATGATAGCTTTCGTGTATTTTGATTAATTTATTATGCTATTTTTGATGTATTTTAACTAATTTTTATGATAGTTTTCGTATATTTTGACTAATTTCTTATATTAACTTTGGTGTATTGTGACTAATTTATTGAGATATATGTCTGTTTTCTACTAATATAGATATAGAGTCATCCTGTTTATCAAAATTTAATCAGATGAAAAATATATGTTATAATTGAAATTTGAATATGAAATTTCACAGTATATTTTATAAATCACTCAGACATATTCAGATGATTTGGTCATTTAAAAGATAACATGTAATTTGTTATAATTTTGAAAAATAAAGTAATTAATAATTTGTTGTAACTTAATAAATTGCATTCATAATTTTTTTTTCTTTTTACATAGTATTATATTTATAACTAGTCCTTTTAAGAAATTATATTTTTATAATATTAAAGAGGAATGATAAACTTTTGAGAAGAAAATGGTGAATAAATCATAAAACATCTAATCCCCCAAAGATTTGATAGTATAACATCTTTGCTTTATTGAAAATTGCAAGAACCTTACATGTTAGTTGTTAGTATCAATTATTATGTTCTTTTGTTGAAGTATGAGATATGTTTCAACAATTAATAATTACATTCGAGAGAAATATCGTTTATTAATGCGCTTCGTATTCGTCTGATGTTTACTCTAAAAAATATAATGATATTTGCATCTCTCGTCAATACTAATATAATTACTGTAACTCGACTTTAAACCAATTAATATCGATTATATGAATCCTCAAGAACCATATAAAAGAATTATACATTTTCAATTAGAAATCTTTTGTAAACCAATCTATTTTCTAGTCATATTCAAAACTAGGGATAGGGGGTAGGGGGTGGGGGTGGGGTGGGGTGGGGGTGGGGTTGTTAGGGTCACATGGTCTTTGGTCAAGATTACAATAATATAGTAAAAATGTACAACAAGATATTGAAGTTTGATTGGATAGGCTATATACATGTGGATTCTGTTTCTGTTACTATTGACATATAGATAAATTCTTACAACACTTTTAAGGTTTGTAAATTAAATAGTTTACTATTATTTGTACTTTAAACCCTTTAGAAAATTTTCACCTAGACATTAAGGTATCTAAAGATGTTAAAAATTACAAAATACTTCCTCAAAAAAAAAAAAAGAACCATAAAGAGGAAATAAATCTTAAATCGATTATTTTCTTGGTTCAATTTGTTAAGCTTGATTCGAAGTAAAAAAATGTAAAAGGATTCCTCAAACAATGTTATTGAGTCTACGTGTTGTATTTGAACTTTGTGTCTTGTCTTGTCTTTCGCTATATTGAGATACTTTTATTTTATGTAATGGTTTATTTTGAGCTTGTGTGTCCTTTACTAATATCGATTTTAATTTAAGTCATGCACATTAATTAGACACGGAGCTTGAAAAATAAAATAGAACTCATAGATAGAACGATTAATAAAGTCTGAGTATGAATCATTTCAATAAATTTAAATAAAAATTTTAAAATATAGAAAGATATAATTTTATTTTAGATATTATATAAAAAAAATGTCATATAAATTGATATAAAGTAAGAAATAATAGATCACTTTTATTTTAATTTTTCACCCGATTAAGTCGGCATCATAACAAAAAAACATTACTTTTGATTATGCAATAATGATTATCGAAGACGATTTTATATTAATGTAATACTTATTAATTAATACTCTATATTTGAACTTCAATCAGATCAAATGCTTTTTAAAAAATAAATACTTTATATTATAAAAATAGAAATAAAATTAACATACATTCTATATTTTCGAATTTCCCCTAATTTAATGATCACATAAATCACTACCAAATGACCCCTTAGGATTGAACTTGGTGCCAAATAAATATATAGGGGTCAAATGTATCAATCCCTATAGTTAACTAAGTTGATTATATAATTCTCTTAGATTGTGACAAAATTGACAAAAAAAGGTTTAAATTTATAGGGACCAATCTAAACAAAATAATAATAAAAAAATTAAATAAGATAGAAATGACAAGTAGTAGTATTTATTAGAGATGTTGGGGATATAAAATTCCATATAGTAAATGAGAACAGAATAGAACTGTGTGAATGTGAAAAAAAAAATAGGCATTAATCCTTGAGTCATTCCCTTTTCACAGTACTTTTAGCTAAGAAAGAGAAAAAATGTAGACATATGTTTTCATTCGATATTTGGAGTTTATATTAAAGCCTTGATTAAATTTTAAATCGTGCATTACAATATCTATTTAAAGGCGATACTTTCAATAAGATTTTCTTCATACAGATGCTCGATCCTCGAGACAAGACATTGTTAGGATCGAATCTACACACACTTGATGAATTAAGAACACAAGAACTCTCAAGAGAAAGAGATGAGAGATTTAGAGAAAGAAAGAGATCAATATTTCGTGGTAACACCTCATAAGTAAATTTCCACGGCGATAAGGTATATATATATATTATATTAATAAATCAGAATATCTTTGATTACAAAGAATAAATGGAGAATAAATAGTATAGTCTAAATAGTTATATATATTAATCAGACTCCACAACCTATCAGACATCTGAATTAAGAGTGAAACGGTCTTACTACTCCATCACAACCCATATTGACAAGTAAATAGAGAGATCTAGATAGTAATTCTTTTGTTTGTAATATTGTTTGACTTGGTACGCGATTTTTTTTTTTAGTTAAATATATGAATTTAAAATTATAATGATTTTACTACTGTTAATTATTTTATTATAAGATTCAAATGAATATTTTAATGTGTAATTATTACTGAATATAAAAATATATTTTCTTTAGCCGATTAAAATAGAAAGTGTATACACATTATATTTTGATTAATAATAAAAATAATTTTTTTTAAAAAAAATCATGGGTTTCTTCATTAATACCATATATTTTGATTAAAAATCACTTATTATAAATTGAATTGAGTATTATTTTCTCAAATAGGGTACATGTAATAGAATTTTTGAATAAATAATTTGAAATGGAAAGAATATGTCACAATAATTAAGTACCTCAATATTTCATTTTTTTTTTAGTATTGATATATTATATTTTTTTTAAATGGGAAAAAATTTAAAAATAAATAAAATAGAATTTTGGGGGTGGGGTGGGGTGGGGGGTGGGTAGGTGCCGTGCGTGTGGGGAGCCGAGATAATGTCGGGACAACCTTCTGGCATAAGCAATTCGTATATATTTAGTCAAGTCCCTTTCAATTTTTATTTTTTTTTTTATAATTTTTGATATTTAGCAAGTTATTTTTTGGTGAAATTTTATAAATGCGTTTGGTTAAAGATTTTGAAAAAAATATTTGATTTTTTAAAATAATAGGATTTACATACGTAAATTCTAAAATTATTAAAAAATATTCATAAATTTGTTATATTATTATGTTTCATGAAAACAGACACAAATAATATGATTTTTTTTTAAAAAATACTGTTAATGATTTATATACAAAAAAAAAATACTATTTCTCTTTTAATTGAAAGTAAACTTGGATAGTTCTTCTTTTTTTTTTGTAAAATATGTATATGAACTGTATAAAATTTGTATAATGAAATTAGGACTGAATTCAATTCAAAATTGTAAATGGTAGGTATTTTTGTAAAATATAAAAATTCGAGATAATCTTTAAATTTAGAAAAAAGTTTCGGATACTAAAATTTGGTTCAAATACTAATTTATCTAGTATTTGAGAACTTGATATGTTTGTTAAATAATGACAATTTGTATGATCAAACTACGTTCTAAATTTTTTTCATGAATATAGTTGGGAATAATGGAGTCAAATAACAGTTTATTTGGACATACAATTTTATGTCGTGATTTCAAATCATAAAATCTCAGTTCTCCAAAAATTTTAATTTGAGAATGTCATATCATAATTTACTACGTATAAACATGATTATATAGTTATTAATGAATTTTCACATATTTGATAAAAATATATAAAACTAATTGAGATAATTTTGATGATTTCCACAACTTAAGAAAAATTTATATTTTACAGCTTAAAAATCTAAATTATTTATCCCAACAAAACTTCTAACTATGTCACGTAATTTTAAAATTTTATTAAAATTCAATTACACAAATTTATATTTACTTTTGATAAAATTTATTTATAACAATAACATTTCAAATATAATTTTCTTACTTCTCAAATCTTCATAATTTTTCCATCACAATTTTATATTGATGTTGCTTTCACTTTAATTAATATTATAACAAAAATAGTTTGGAGTTATTCTTGATACAAGGAATAATAATAATAACAATATTTTTTTAGTCCATGTATATATATATATAT